GAAGATCGGGGGCGGTGGCCGACTGGAGAGAATTGTTCCATGCGAATCGCCCTAACACTTGGGTCTCCCAGACTGTACGGCACGAGGCAGCAAGGCTTGTATCTCACTAGGCCTCACTAGTCATAAGCTTCGCACGAAAGCGCTCTATTCGCAAGTCGCAATACAACGCCACAGGTTCACGCCGCCCCCGCCGTTATCTAAGCCTCGTCTGCGGGCGCGGCCAGCACTAGAGTGCACTGTTCAGCCTTGGCCTGGATCGTGGTAACGTCTTCCGAGGACCTGTGCGTTCCCGCGTAGATTCAGCCACAGCTTCCTGGGACGAAGGGAGATCACGCGCACCACTCGGTCTCCAGCAGAACTTCCTCTACTTCTTCGGTGTCTATACCGAGGTCCTTGCTTTGCAGCACCATGTAAAGACATTCGGCGGTGTCTACCCGGACCTAGAGCAGCGGCATGGCTTAGCTTTAAGCTTTGGAGCGGGCTCGAAACGCGTCTGACCTTGGGGTACTGATGCCCGAGGAATACAGTAAGCTGCTCGGCAGAAATTTTCCGCAGATGCGGAACGCACAGCAGATTGACCACTCTGAGAGATGCCATGGTTAAACGCCGCAGTGAGACGGGGGACAGTGCTCACATTCGCATCGAAGCCGCGACCCTTTGGACATTCTTGAATTTGGCGACACCCTTCGAACTGATAGACAAAAGATAGCGCAAGCTGTTCGGCCCCGCGTGCCGTTAGCTTTTGCCACTGTATAGGTGCGGAGACGGAGGGCGTACCTCTTCAAGCCCTCGTAATCATCGTACAGCCTCTCGAAGGCCTCAGCCTCGAGCAACACACTCGACGTCTGCAAAACCGGAATAACGATACTGTTGGATGTAAGGTTGCCTTTGGCCTGCGCGAGGAGGTCCGTGGCCAACCCTCGAAGGTCATACCCCTCTTCTACGCTCTCTACAGTCAGCGTCCGCGCATAGGCCGCAAGCGCTTGAGACACCGGCCGTTGCTACCAACCGTGTATGTCAGCAGACGTCTCCCAGACACAGTCATTAACATACTGTACTGTCTGTCCTGCTGCTCACACTGAGCACAAGGCCCGATAGGATGGCGTGGCGATACTCTGGGATCGCGAGGAGCTGCACAACTTTGGGGAATAACCGCGAGCCGTCGTTCCAGTTCACCTCTTCTTTGTCCCTGCGACCAGAGAGTCAGGCGCAGCACAAGGCACCAATGAGGGGCTAACTTACCTCATAAACAAGTCTCTCATTAGGCGCCCATTGCGGACGACCCACTGGTCGCCATTCGGCAACTCTGGCCGGCTCAAGGACAGCAGTCTTGCGACCTGCTCGCCCGCTTGCTGGCGAACATTATCCAGCCGCTCCACACCTTGCTTAAATATGCCTCCGATGGCATCGTGGAACTTGGCTGGCGGCAAATACTGTTCGAAGTGTAGAATGCCCGGTGCGTTCTTCAGGAGCAATTCGATGGTCGATGCAAGGCCTCTGACACAAGCGATGCGTATCCAAGAGCCGACGTCTCCGCGCTCGTCCATAGTGTAATCCTCAAGGCCAGAAAGTAGGGCGTCGAACATGGAGCGGACAGTCTCAGGCTGTAAGACTGAAGGACGTGGATATATGAGGGTGCTACGTTTGACGGCTACGAGAGGTGACTCACACTTGTTGAGTCTCGAGACAACGTTCGCCAGTATTTGAGGTAGCGATTGGTAGGCATTTCTACGGGCTTCGACGTTCTTTGTCCCGGTCTGTACGAAGACTCAGCAGCTTATCGACGCGTCACCTCTACCGTACCTACCGATTTCTCAACATTAGCAACAAGGAACTTGACAGCAGGCAGCAAGCCATGCTCGTGCGTGCTATAGTCCAGGACGCCCAGCACGCGACAAGCATTTTGTTGAGTGGCTGGTGAAGCGGATTTTCCCTCCCTGACGAATGTGTAGACAGCGAAAGTAAGTCACGGACATCGTCAAAGAGTAAGGAGGGCCACATATCTTTGTACATAATCGGAGCAGTCAACCAGCTGGCTGACGCGCGCCATCGCATGGGCAACTGCCTCTTGGACGACGGCACTATTGCTCTTCAGAGAGAATTCAAGAATGCTTCGCCACTGTGGCCCTGACTTGCTGTTGCTTGTCTCTACTTCCGCCGAAGTAATACTGTTCGCGATTACCTCGCATGCTGCTGCAGTAATGAGTTCGTTCCGATAAGACTGCACAATTGTCTGCGACAGATTGGCCAGATAGCCAAAGATCTGCAACGGGATGTGAGTCAGACGCTAACTTTCTTCCTCGTAAAAAATACAGACCTTCCGAAGTTGAACAAGTGCCTGCTCTTCGGCTCCACCTGTTTGATACGCATCCGCCAGCTCGGCGAGAACCCATAAAGCGCCATGAATGTCGCCAGAATCGACCGAATCCAAGAATATTGTCTGCCCGTCCAGTCAGCAAAGAGGTACCACGAAGGAGGCGATATACGAACAGCTTCGTCTGCGCAAGAGGGGCCTAGCGTCCACAAATCCAGCTGACATATTTCCCGCAGTGATTTGGCGCCGAGTCTTCTCATGTTTGGGTCCCAGTGTCGAAGGGTCACAGTCAGTAGATGGCGTATCAGAACGGACCTGTAAACTTCATGCCTGCCTCGTTGTTAGCATTGGTGCACGAAGCAGATTGAGATTACATACTCAGCAACTTCAGGTGCTGCGACCAAAAAAGCATTACGCCTAATGCCGACGGCGTAGAAGTCTGTCTTGCGAAGAACGTCTATTCCGTGGGGAAACAGACTCTGTCGAACGTCTAAGGCTTAGATACTGTTCATCCTCAAGGGGGCAAAATATAGCGTACCGTTCGACCTACGAACTCCTGGAATGCGGCACTAGCCGCACGACGGATGTGGACTTCTCGATCGAAGACAGTAATAGTCACAAGCGTCTGTGCAAGTTCATCTGCAAAGGGGGAAAGGGCAGCGACGCTCTGTGCACGTGCGAGAGACCACAGAACGTAGGATGCCGAGTCCCGCACGCTAGAACCCACAGAATGCGCGCCCTTGCGGATGTCAAAATACAGCGCTTTACGCATCCAGTCTATGAGCTCCTTCAGTCGGCTGTCCGCAACCAAACCCCTTCTCGCCATCTCTGCACAGGCGAGACATGCACCATGCCATGTCGACTCGGCTATGGATGGCATATCGTAGAGCGAGGCTGCGCCTAGCGAGTGGATTGAGAACAGGGCGAGTACTGGCTGTAGAATTTGTTCTACGAAATCAGATGGAAGACGTTCTGAAATGCGGGCGACAGCTTTCGCGGATGAGTATCGGACGACTGTGTCCTTCATGTATAGGATCAGCGTTATGATAGAGAAAAGGAAGTCTAAGAGGTAATACCTTGTCCTGCAAGGCGTCAAGCAAACTTTCCAGTGTATCTTCCAACTCTTCAGGAACGTCCACGTCCACATCATCCTCTTCTATATTGATTTGCTCAGTGGTAGACATCAATGCCTTCCCTGCTGAAGGTCAAAACACGTGCCGGCTTGATATATCAACGGCATACCTCTCTTCATCCCCGCTCTGCGCCGCGGAGGCAGGAGGCGAAGCAGCACACGAGATATGAGCTTGATACGAAACTTGCGCACGAGGATATTGCTCATCAACACTTTGTTGCCCTCTACCGTGCGAGAGATGTCTCGTAACAGCGGAGCATGAGGAAAGACCTGACTAGTAGAGCTCGTCTTGACTAAGTCACAGATGACTTGAAGTGTGCCAACAGACTGCGGCTATGAGATGATAAATAGTGCATAGGGTGACTCGTACATACAAGGAAGATTGCGTCTGAATTCTTGAGGGCTTCAGTTGCCCACTCCAAAAACGCGGGAAAGCGCACGTTCGTGTCCCGCCTGCCTGGATTCATGAACATCCGTGAGAATCACGCGCAAGGCTAGGCTTCACCTGGCGTAGAGACGGGCGAGCAAGATGGCGGCACCTTCGCGCTCTATTCCAGCTTTGTTCAAGTAAGATCTCGCTGTCAGCTCCAAATCCGACGCAGTTTTGCCAACGTTCTCCGGCTCGTCGAACTGAGCGAGATCAAAAGGCAGCATGCAAATGAGCGAGAGCCAGAGTAGCATGATGTATCGCAAGGGCCACTGCTCTTGATCGTCTGCAAGCTTCTTGTTATTGACGAGAAACGACAGTGCGATGGTCAGATCGTCGATCTCGTGAGGGAAGAATCGAGCTGGCAGGCAGACATCAGTGAGAGATGCAAGATTGACAGCAAATGAGTACTAACTGATAGTCTTAAATCCGCGGGATTTGACGTAATTGTACAACAGTGCCGCGATACGTCCAAGATTCTCCGAATTCTGAAAGTTCCAAGATGACGACCAGTTTATAATGGAGAGCTTCAGACGTTCTACGATCGGGCTGACGAGTCGCTCTAAGAAAGGATCGAGGAGGTACGATTGCTCCTGATACTCATCGAGCTGGAAATGCGTCAGCGACAGGATCGGATTAGTGTAGCTGCAAAGCGTACTGACAATCATGGAGAGCTTTCTGAGCAACCGATCGGCGTCATTAGACTCGTCGCCTGTGGAATCAACGATGCACAGTTTGAGAAAGGTATTTTGAGCCTCAGAGAACTCTTCGTATTTCTCAAAAGTCGCAAAGACTCCGTCGTCAAGCTGACCTTCCTCCATAACCTCATTCGCGGTGATGGCGATGCCAGAGCGATGACGGGTGAACCGGGCGCGCTCGCCAGCAGTGATCGCAATTACTAAGCCTTGCGTACGTAATTCTGTAAAACCATCCTCACGCGTCCGGTCACCGATCACTGCTCCTGCGCTATCTGTCAGGCAACCCTCAGTTCCGAGAAATGGAATGTCTATAAGTGTGGGAGACTTGATTACCCATTGCTAGACCCAAATGCTTTGAACCAGACAAGCTCTTGTCCTATCCGATTCTGAAGGATTTGTACGTATGTACTAGAGTCCTTCGGTCAACGGTTAATGCATGAAAGGTTTTCTTGTGTGTATATTGGCCTAATGAACTACCTTTTAAGACCACATACGCGGCAAGTCCATTAGTGACGGGCATCGAGCATGACCAAACAAAGCGATCGCAGAGCTCGCAGCGCGAGCGTCTGCCGTAGCGGTGCGTTCGTCCCTGCGCCTCTCACCGGTCGGCTCTAGCCACAGTGCACCCCCTGCGACCACTGCATCCTCTTGAAATATTCCAAGCCTAATCAAGCTCTTCAGACAATGTTTAAATGCTCGCCAAAATGGATACAACGGCATATCCAGTGCCAAGAGGACGAAGGCTGCGGCGCTCAGCCCGCTGTACTCTCGTCCGTAGTAGATATGCCTGCGGCGCCGGACGTGCTAGCTACACGGCGCAACAGTAGCGACGACGTGCTGAGTCAATGCACGACTTCCTGATTATCAAGATGAGCACAGCTCTCACGGTGGCATTCAGACGGCATAATTGGCCCGCCAAGGCGCAACTTCTCTTCGGCGATTCATTGATTCACTGATCCCAGCAGCGTCAGCTTGTCATGCCACCGCATAGCTGCGCAAGCTATTCTGCCCCATAAAAGCAGCTTTGGCGACCTGCTGAAGCAACATCAGCACTCAGCACTCGGAACTAAGCATCCACAGACTGCGACACATCATGGTTCAAACTGAACAGATCACTTTCTACTCTCACATCGTACGTCTAGGGTCTCCCCGGGGACTGACCCAGCCTTCTAAAAAGCGTCTGACACGATCTTATGTCTAGTACTCTCCTTATGGCCAAAGGGTCCACATTGCCCTTGAGGAGGCAAACGCCGCATACACCTTCCACTCTATCGACTTGATGAACAAGCCTGCGTTTTACACTAAGGAGGTCAACCCGGTTGGCAAGGTCAGTTGTTACTTTCGTCGTCATCGAGCTATGGCAACAAACTGAAATTCAACGCTTCAGATCCCTGCCATCACCTATGGTGGCCCCAAAGTCGATCCAGAGCAGCCCTCTCCTGAGTCCACCAAGCTCAGGGAGTCTGGTGTCATCTTGGAGTTCCTCGCCGACCTCTTCCCAGATTCCGGTCTGCTGCCCAAGGACCCTGTCCTCCGTGCTAAAGCTCGCCTCTTTATCACCGTCGTCGACGGCCAGCCCTTTGAAGGCTTCAAAGGATATTTCTTCATGCGCGAGCCCGCCACCAAGCTCATTGACGGTCTAGACGCACTCCAGAAGCAGCTCCCGGCCACTGGCTTTGCTGTCGGAGAGAAGTGGACCATCGCCGATATAGCTATCGCGCCTTTCCTGGCCCGCATATTTTTGTTGCTCGAGAACGATTTGGGTGTTTATCCTGCCGGCGATGGCAAGAAGACTCTCGAGATCCTGCGCGGCGAGAAGTTCGCTCGCCTCAACAAATATTATGAAGACGTCAAGGCCCAGTCAAGCTTCAAGGCCACTTGGGATGAGGTGCGGGATATTTGATTTGGTTTGGTTGCAGAGCTAATATTGTTGCTAAATTACTCTCCTTCTGGACAGGATACCCAAACTACCATTTGGAAGAGCAACCCCATGTTCAAGCGCGAGTGAAATGTTTTCCGTCGTGAGAAAGGATGTGGCATCATCCCGTGGTTGTCATGTAAAGTACAGATAGGCTGGGAGACCAAAGAGTGAGGTTCGTGTGAAATGCGGAAACAGCCAGCAATTGGTTCAGAATGCCTAGGTAAGTACACAAACTATATTTCGACTAGCAGCCCCTGCACCGCGACTTCTGCAGCCTTCATGGGGCCGTGGTGAATGAATGAAAGCTCGCTGAGGGATTTGAGATTATCTCTCAGGTACTATTATCAGCTCGATCCTAAACGCCTGTGCACTTGCGTACTCGCGCGCACGGTCCACAGGCTGCTACATATCATTGATGGTATCGTCGCACTCGATCCAAGTTGGGTTTACTGGGCGTTCGCGATGGAGAGATTCTGTGGCCGCCTACAGTGGAACATTCGAAACCGGCTGTTTCCGTATGCGAACCTCGACACGTTTGTCGTTGCCGATGCTCGCCTCAAGCAGCTAGGGCTAAAGAACGACATCAATCTTGTGCAGATGCTGTCGCTCAAACCACCTGTAAGCCGCTCAGTGCGTGGGCAAATGTCGGCCGAAGGCTGTAAGTACTGCATACGTCGCACCAACTTCGCCCGGCTCGCTAAAGATTGGATGTAGACTCGACGTGTGTACTTCTGCCACTGCGTCTGCCCAAGGGCGCTGTCCCTGAGTGGCCCCAGCTGATGCGCCGCATTGCTCTCTATCTCGCGACGCGCTCCAACGTCACGCTTTCGGCCGCAAAGCCTCATGTCAAGTCGGACCGTATTGAGTTGTTTGGCAAGGTTCGACGGCTCGAGGGAGGCAACATAATGTGCGCGTCGGAATCGGCCGCATCTACAGGCGACGACCGCCGTGATGCTATATATATTCGGGTGAGCTAACCAACGATTTGGCTCGTATTACCGCGGCTATCTAACGTATTATACACTAGTACCAAGTTCTCGAAGACCGCAACGCACAGCACCGGAGCGCTCCCGAACACCTCGAGCTTGTCTCGCACTTTGCGCAGCTCACCAACACCATTGTTGTCCAACTGCCAGCTACCACTGTTTTCACCCTTGATGCACCCACTGCTCTCGTGCTTGCAGACGTTCAAACGTACAGAACTGACGCATTCCGCAATACAACCACTAGGCATGCCGTGCTACCAAGACCTCGCGCCACCAGTGGTCATCGATATGACCTGTGTGCAATGCCTCATTGGTTGACTGAAGCTCTCGGACGGCGCGCGGCCTATCTGGGCCGCCATTGACCGCAGCGGAGGGCAGGCAAGAGCTGTTTGGGCAGACGAGGATGAGACTTAGGGATTTTGCACAGATCGTGATCTGTTTGTGGATATTTCCCAGTAGCATGTCTAAATTCATCTACTCTTCTTAGTTTGGGTTCGGCTCTTTGTCCCGGATCCACATCGCCAGATACCGACCGCTTTTCAGGCGGTTCGGGACTTTTCGCCCGACCCTATGGCGAAATCCCGGGGTTCTGAACCCCATAGTGACTGTATCCTCGTGCGTTCCAGTCGCTGGACGCCCTGCGCTATCTGCCAGGCAGCACCGGCTCGTCAGTTACCGAAAAATGCAGGGTGTAGTGTGGGGAGACTTGATTATTCATTA